AAAATAGGGCCAGAAAGACAACCTCGGCATAGAATTAGAGAATAGCAAATTGGGGCAGAGAGAGAGAATCTGAATGAATATCCTTGACAGAGGCTTTGTCATGCAAAGCAGGTCTATNCTTAAAATAGGGCCAGAAAGACAACCTCAGCTTCAAGCATAGAATTAGGGAATAGCAAATTGGGGCAGAGAGAGAGGATCTGAATGAATATCCTTGACAGAGGCTTTGTCATGCAAAGCAGGTCTATTTAAAAATTCAGTGTGTGGCAATTATAGATTGCAAGATTGAGAACCTTCTGGAAGCATGTATCCCATGCTATTCTGCTCAGTTAAGTTTGTAAACATGGGTGAAACATGGTCCCTACCCATAGGGTGCTTACAAGTAAGGAAAGAGGCTCCTGAAGAAAGAATCTCGGTACAATTTGGATGCTGTGTGAGGAAGGGAGGGGGACTCTACCAGCTTGATATGAAGGAAGAACCAAGTGACCGTGAACCCAAGCAAGCTCAGGTGGATGTGCATCAGAATGGGAAGCAGAAGTGGAGGGATGACAAGAAGGGGACCAGACCCCAAATCTGCAGGAATGACACTGTCCTCATGAGAAAGGATAGGTCCTTCTGCTAATCCCCAACATGCACAGGGCAGGTGTGACATTTCAGCTCGCTGCAGATTCTCAACTCCGCCTGTTGTTCTTATAAAGTCACAAAGTACAAGTACACCAATAACATTGCTTTTAAGTAGTGACAAGTAATCTTAGCATCCCAGAGTAGTTCCAGTTATCTCAAAGGGCATTACTAAATCTGACGATTTTCATTCTTTTCAAAATTCAAAGAAAGAAAGATATTTATATGGAAAAATTATTTTTAATCCAAAGTACACCTATTATGTCCTTCAAAGGGGAGAAAGAGTGGTGCCTTGTCAGGTCAGCTCAAGAATCAGAATGATTCAGATGGGAAACATGCTAAACCTAAGAGAGCCTTGTGGTGTGTTAGCTATTGGTAGAATCCAGGCTGCTGTGTCTCCAGGAAGCAAGAGCTAACTTTTCCATGCTCACATATTATAAATGACTTATAAGTAATGAGGGCTGGAAAAAGACTTCTGCCTCTGTCTCTGTGAGGTTTGTGCCACAAATCAGCCTGAAAATCTGGAATCCAATGGGCCAAAGGGCCTCCTGTAGTTTGGAAGCTCCCACCTTCCAGTGGTGAGCCTGCAGATCAGGGAAGCAAGTTGTAGCACAAAACTGAACCCATTGCAAGCTTCAACTCAGACTCCAAGCAGTGGGATCTGGAGCTAGAAGGACTCGAGAAGCCTGGTGGAGTTCAACAGCTAAGTGTCTGGCCGAGGCTCAATAACTTGGAGATGCGGAATTTATTTGTAATAGTAACTGTTCTCCCAAACCTCCAAAACTCATGAGATTCTCTTGTAATTTAGACACAGAGAATCTTGTGATAAAAATCCAGAGAAGAAGGTAGATGTATAACATAAAAAGATCAGTCCTAAATGTGGTTTATGTTGGTGTTGGGTAAGAATTCTGCCTTCTGGAAGGCCATCCAAGCTAAATTCCAGAGTCTCTTAGGGAGAGTTCTGTTCTATTTACTGTTCCGCACCATGGCCTGCCATTCCCTCATGTTCCTTGCGCTTAGGAAATAATTTGCTCATGTCCCTTTATTGCAGCATAGCTGCTGTTTTCAGAGAAAAATGGATGGTGGGGTTATTTATTCATGTGTACAGTTTTTCTTTTCTTTTTGCATTCGTTAAAAACAGTCTGGTAATCACCAGAGAAAAAGGGGATAGAGGGTAAATGGGGGGTGAATGGTGATGGAAGGAGACTTGACTTTGGGTGGTAAACACACAATATAGAGATTCTGTATCAGAATTGTACACCTGAATACTATATAATTTTATTAACCAATGTCCCTCCAATAAGTTCAATAAAAAAAATTAAAATAAAATAAAACCTTATAACTTCATTCCCCCAGGTAGTGATAGAAGTCAAGCAGAAATTATTTAAAGGGAAAACTATAAGATAAGGTTTTAGTCTGAATGTCCAAAGCATAGGGAACTCGGGCAGCATAAAAGGGTCATGAATTCACAGGCAAAATTATCTGTAGTGTTTTATCTTCATGTGTAGCTTAAAAAAGATTTAGAATTCACTTTCAAATATGAAATAAATATGTAACTTACTAAGACCACATTGTTGAAACAAAATGAAAAATTATCCATTAGATCTTTGACTTTCTTTGCTTTTTATCCATCTCACCTCTTTCCTGAAATCTCATTCCATAAGCATGTTTTATTAATGGTCTATTAATAAGCATTCACTTAAAACATGACTGATTAAAAAGTAGACCTGATTTTAAGTAAGCGTTCTGAAAATGTTTCATTTATTGAATTCATCTAGGTTTAAGTTCTCATTTGTATAGCTAGAGGCTAAATTACAGATCCTCATGCTTGTTTTATCATGATAATGAAAGCAGTACTCTTATTTGCAACACTAATTAAAATTCTACTCTGACCCATATAAATTCAACCTTTCCCCCAAATAGATTATTTTCAAATCTTTATATAAAATTTACTATATATGTGTGTGATAATGAGAGTATCTATCTTTAGTGTAACATAATCAAAGTTAAGAGAAAGTAAAAATTAGGTTCAGACTTTTTAATACTGCAGGGTACATTTTTAGTACCCTACAGAGAGAATTAGTCACACGACTCCCATTAACTTTAATGGAACCTGTATGGGCAACTCATATGCTGAAGTTCTCAGGGAAGCTAAACGTCAGTAGAGTTTACTGGTTTCATTTTTCCTCTTTGGAGCTTTAGTTTTGACCACCTTTACTTTCTAATGGTCTAGAGGGAAGACATGTCAATAAAAATGATTAATATAAATGTTTTCCAAGTTTTATAAGCCCGCATTTTCTATACATACATTTACCCAGAAGTTAGAAATCTGCAAACAATGCTTAGTAGCATTTGAGATTTAATTAGCAAGTCAATTCAACTAAATAAAGGACATAGTTTTAAAATACAAATACAATAATATTCTTTAAATATGAGTGTTGTAGCATTCTTTACCCCCTAGTGCTTATTCATTTTTCACTTTTCTATTTATAATTACAACAGCGAAATCTTTGAAAATATTTCATTATGATAAATCTTAAAATTAAATATATTTGTAATCATATTTAAGTGTTTATATTTGAAGCGAAATGTATTTGGAATTCTATGTATTGACCTTATTAAGAGAAATAGATGGACAATTAAAAATTAAAACATACTCAAAAGGGGCAAAAGGTACTGCTATCAGCAATACCTTCTCACAATTGGGAACTCAGTCACCTGACTACTTGGTGAAGTTATAATCAGTTGACCAATCCATTCAAAACGTGTTTAGTATAATAATGAATTTGCATTCTCTACACAGAATACATAAAAAAGATAAATGAAGATTCCTTTAGAGTCAACTCTTCCAGGCGTTCAGGGCACTCCTAAATTTGGAAGCAACTCAATTCTCTTTTCTCTATCAAATAGATCTATTCATATTTAGAATTTCCTAGAAATTTACCTAGAAATTTACTAGAAATTTACCATTTAAAAAGTTTACCTAGAAATTTACCATTTAAAAAGTTAACATAAAAATATTTTAAAAGAATCCTGACTGACAAATGTCAAAGGGATGGAGGAGGGCAGGTTGGGTGGAGGGGGAGAGAGTAACCAAAGAATTTATATGCATATATGCACAGCCCAAGGACATGGACAATGATGGGGAGAGGGACTGGGGAGGGGACTGGGATAGGTGGAACAGGTTATTGGGGAGAAAAAGGGACATCTGTAATATTTTAAACAAAAATAAAATTTAAAAATTAAAAAAAGAAAAAAAATCCCCAGTGTAAACTTAGGAGAATCTTTTATTTCACCTTATTTGGGAATCTAAATAACCAAAAAATAGACTTCAGACACAACACACACACACACACACACACACACACAGAGTTTAATCAGGAATAAAAAGCAGACCTAATGAGAGCACTGATAATTAACATCATAAATAATTTCATCTTGGAGAAATGTTTCTGAAATAAAAACTTTGGTCAAATACAGTCTATTACATAAGTGAAGTTTCCTGTAAAAATTTAGTATTAGTTGGTTATCCTAATTCACTACGGGTGGTAATGCAAACTGGTACAGCCATTCTGGAAAACACCATGGAGGTTCCTCAGAAAACTAAGAATAGAGCTCCATATGACCCAGCAACCCCTCTCCTGGTATCTACTCAAAAAATTTGAAAACATTTATTCTCAAAGATATATGCACCCCTGTGTTCACTGCAGCTTTATTCACAGTGGCCAAGACATGGAGACAACCAACATGTCCTTCAGTAGAGGGCTGGATAAAGAAGGTGTGGGACATGTACACCATGGACTACTACTCAGCCATAAGAAAAGATGAAATACTGCCATTTGTAACAACATGGATGGATCTTGAGAATATCATGCTAAGCAATATTAGTCAGAGAAAGTCAAGACCCATATGATCTCACTCATATGTGGGATATAAAACTGAAAGCAACAAATGAACAAACAAGAAAAACTCATAGACACAGAGAACATTATGATGGTTACCAGAGGGAAGGGGCATGGAGGGATGGTAATGGTCAAAGGGGTCAAATAAATGGTGATGGAAGATTTGACTTTGGGTGGTGGGCACACAATGCAATATGTAAATCGTGTATCATAGACTTGTACACTTGAAACCTATATAATCTTACCAGTGTCACCCCAAGAAATTTAATAAAAAGAAAGAAGAAAAACATTAGTTGGTTACTATAGGAACCCTAGAAACTTGCATGTCATCAGTGACTATTAATGCTAAAAAAAACATTAGCCATTTAGTCTACTCCATCATTTTAAGTCAAGAAATTGAGCCTCCAAGAAGTTAAGTGATTATCATAAGGTTTCCCAGCTATTTATTTGCAAGGAAAACTAGAATCGAAACCTCCTGACTCCTCATTCATTCACTGCGCAAGATTTTATTGAGCACCTACAATGGCCTTGCACAATTATAGGAAATTAGTTAAAATGAAAAACAAAACATACAAAATCCTTGCCATCTTGGATCCAACATTCTAAATGGGGAGATGCAATAGAGATGGAAATAAGTAAAGAAAAAGTACTGTTTCAGAGTGTGGTGCATCCTCAAAAGTATTTGGTGTGGTTTTCACCACTAAGAATGCACTATAGGATAGTGTTTCTCATCTCCTTTTCTCTCCTTGAAGTTAAAAGTAAAGAGAGATTCATCAGCATATGTACTTTCATCCATCTCGTCCGTCAAGTTCCCTCCGAAGGCATCCACATATTCATGAGACACATCAACATTTGCCAGGCTTTGTTATGTTTGTGTTATGTGTCGTCAGGTGCCCATTTTCATTGGAGTTTTTCAGTATCTGACTTTTGCAGCTTTTGGTCTTCTGAATTTCCCCCCATGTCATAGGAGAAGTTCAAAGACAGAAAACCTAAGACCGTGTTGTAAATACAGCTTCAGAAAAAGGTGTATGGGCAAAGATTATCCTCCAGAGCAAAATGGTTGTCCCTCCATGGCTATTTCTCATTCCGTGTGATTTTCCTGTGTAGAGAACAAAAGAGAATTTGAAAGATAAGGTGGGGTGTGAGTCTGGCTGCTTGTCATTCTATGAAATTATACTGACTGTATTGTCTTCAATGTCAGACAGTGAAACTGTTTCCTCTAACCAACAAAAAGAACGCTTACTACTTTTGTCTTTCATTATTTCTTAATGCATAATTTATGTTTGACCCATTTATTAATAACCATGAAGTGTTGTACCTGGAAATCTGCTCACAAAAGAACAGAATATAAAAAATCAAAATGAACATTTCATTAAGCAGATATTATTTTTACATTTAAAACAACTTGCCCTAGTTTGTTCTTTCTGGGAATGTTGGATAAGATCCAACAGAAATTATTCAATTATTAATATAACCATATTTATCAAGTTCAACAGGAACTTCAACTATATCCTGGTTACCGATAAATCTCAAGGGAAAAAAAACATTTTTTTAATGACATATTCTACCTACAAGAGAAATATTTCAGTAAAGTACCATTTCTGTGAGTTTTTCGAAGGCAGTGTTCCTTGTATGTCTTTTCCTTGCATAACATAATGACACATTATATAGTTATAATAAAATCTATAATAGCTAATATTTATGAAATAATTTACATTTGTGAGGCAACAATGTTATAAGTTGGGTATTATTACCATTTCATGTTCCCAATGAAGAGATATTAAATATTTTGCCCAGTGTCACTCAGTTGATGAGAGGAAGAACTGGAACTTGACCTCAATTATCTTACCATACAACCCACCTTAACTCTTCTACTTTCAGCAACAGGTTTAGAGTAGACATTCAAATAAAAATGCATTTAAATTAAACTGAAATCCCAATAAATTTAGCCTCTGTCATATAAGCCATTAAGAAGACTTAAACTTCAGGAAAAAATGTCGGGGGTAACAAGTAAAGCATTTCGTTCATTGAACAATTCTATATATTTCAAGTATTCTAGGCCTCATAGAAGTCTGGAGCTGGAAAGTTTATCGATCAATCTAGTCCAATCCTCTCCATTTGGAGATGTGGACCCAATCACTTCTGGGTCCAGAGAGGTGACTCAGGTTACTGAGTGCCATACAACCTGCTAATAGCAGATTTCCTAATTTCCAAGCAATAATATTTGAATTATGCCCTACTGTTTTTTATTTTTGTTTATCTATTAATTTGAAAATTAATTGCCAATACCTAGATTGCTAGGTTTATGTAGATAGGCTCTTAACGTGTCCCCTATCTTCCCTACCTCCTGATATCCATGACCTTGTGTGACCCCCTTTCCTTGAGTGTGGATGAGACCTGTGACTTGCTTTGAACTAATAGAATATGGCAAAGGAAAAGGGATGTTACCTACTAATTACATGTATGTGATGACATGATTGCATCACATACAACCATCACTTCCATTTGGCAGGAGTCTCTTGTTCTTGCTGACTTTGAGGAAGCAAGCAGTCATGATGGAAGGCCCACATGGTAAAAAACCGAGGGCAGCCTCTATGAACTGAGGGGAGCATCTAGTCTGTGATAGTCTGCAACTGCAAGGACCTCCAGTTGATCTCCAGCAAGAAAATGAGGCCCTCAGTCCTACAACTGCAAGGAAATGAACGATGGCAGGAACCCCAGGGAATTTGTGAATGGTTCCTTCCCCAGCTGAGTATTCGGATAGGAACTGGACCTTGACCAATGCCTGGACCACAGCCTTTCAGAAGACACAGCTAATCTGTGCTGAGATTCCTGATCCACAAAAATTGTTAAATAGCAAACATCTGTTGTTTTAAGCTACTGCTTTTAGAGTAATTTCTTACACAATGATAGAAAACTAATACATGTAGTTACCCACATTGTGGATGAAAAATAATAAAATTTGACAAAAGAAATTAAAAAATTAAATATTAATCGTGGGTTATTGGTAACTCATGAAAGTCCAAAATTTATTTCTAGAAGTTGTCAAATATGTATAAATTTAGAAATTTACAATCTTTCTAAAAGTTATGTGTATTGTATAAGAAAAGGCAGGAAAACTATGATAACGTTACATAACCTCAGAAAGTCCAAAATAACAAAATATTGTTAAGCTTCACTATTTACTCCCACTTAAAATTGAAAATCTGTATTTTTAGGTTTCTTTATCTATTCTGGAATGCAGTATTGTATTTTTCTTCATCTATTGAGAAGCAAAAGAGTGAAAGTGAACAGAAAAAGACATAGGCTTTTTTTCTTACTTGAACTTTGGAACACAAAGGCATTTGAGAAAGCTGAAAATCTTATTTTATTCTTATAAACACTAGCATAAAAGAAGACCTCCTGAAACAGCCTGTTTCAGAGGTAACACCAGGGCATCAGTTAAAACAGGAAAGTTTTTTTAATTGGCCAACTTCCTGGCTTTTGCCAACTTGTGTTGGTTGGAGTGTGTGAACCTTGGAACTCTCCTTAGAACAGCATGGTTCAGGATGCCTGCTTGCATATATACGTATAGATAATTGCTACGCCTGGTTCCCAGGATATGAGCTGTGTAAAATTACTGTAGGAAGTTGTAAATGATGTATGAAATGAGAAATCTTTGCCCACTGGCAGTACATAGATAGAACAGAGATAGTGACGTGCAATCTCTCCTCTGTCATTTGTCATATAGTATTCATAAAGCAGAACATATCAATAAACCTGAGTGTCAAACATGCATACTAAACAATGTATTTTATTTCTCCTTTTTACGGTCCCAACTCTTTCTTAAAAATCAGTTTACAAAACCTTTGTGCCGAAGGTAGATGTAAAGAACTTCTATGTTAACGATTTCAGTTACCCAACCCAAAACATGAAATGCAGAAATTCTAAGCAGCACTGTGTGGATGCGCCTTTAGACTCACAGTCCTCAGCAAGGCTCAGTTTCTAGACTTGCCATCCAAAGTAAACTTTTTTTTTTTTTTTTATGAGGATGTATATAAAGGCTTTATCTCCAATGTCTAACATACAGCCATTTGGAAACATCTGAGGGTAGAACTGACATTTTTATTTTGTGTCCCAATGTCTGAAAGGCTTTAAATTTCCCCTGCCATTGACTGGCAGAAGCAAATAGGAGCAGCATTTTGTCTGAAATTTGTTTTAATAGAAAACTCCTGTGGCTGACTTCTCAATCCCCCTGACATCAAATATTTAATCAAACAATTGTAGTAATTAAATGAATGCATATTTATGGTCATCTTGTCACAAAAGACCCCAGTCCCATCAAAGCAAATCTAAAAACAGGAACCAAAAAAAAACCTTCACAAGTCGCCGTATGCTTTTTAGATTACAGAATTTAAGTTTAGAAATTAAAATGAACAGAACAAATGAACTAAGGTTGCATCTATCTATGACCTTGTTAGGGGGGTGGAGGGATTGAGCCAAAAAGAAAAAAAAAAGAGGGAGAACCCACGGACATGGACAGAAGTGTGGTGATTGTGAGGGGGAGAGGAGGGTGGGTGGAGGTAGAAGAGGGCATAGAGGGGATAAATAGTGATGGGGAAAAGAAAATAAAATATAAAATAAAGTAAAATAAAATAAAATAATAGAATAAAAAATGGTTTTTAAAAAAACAAGATCAAGTAAGTTTTTTTAAAAAGCACAGGAAAGACCAAGTATCTTTTTGGTCATCAAGAAGTTGACAGCTTAACAATGTAGGGCTCAAATTACAAGAGATAATGTTTTTCAATGACACCTGAACTTATTTTTTATGTACACAGAAGGAAATTTAAATATTCATATAATTGCATATTTCTCAAATATGAATATGTCCCTTTATGTGCCAGTTTTGATTTTGCTAAAAACAAAGCAAAACAAATAAAGAATATGCTTTGGCACTGGATATTTTTTACGGCATGCATTGATAATTCTTTCTGAAAATTGTAAAACAAATATTTCCTTACCGAGTTCATTTCTTCTTGGAATCACAACTGATTTTTCTTTTGCTTAATGAAGTTAGAAGTGAAATATCTGATTTTATTTCCCATCAGTAGACCACAGAGATAAATGTATTCCATTTTGCATGTGAGTCACATAGAAATGCTGGTATGGTTTTGTCTCTTTGAATACAATCAAAAGAGCATAAATATCTACATTTGGTTTCTTTTCTAAGTATAATGTAAATATTGTCTCATGACAACAAGCATATAAACAGCAGAAATTAATTAAAAATCTTCAATCGCAAAAAAAAAAAAAGCTTCCCAATGTTGACCCAATGTTTAGATTATAGGGTCTATACATTTTGACCACCACCTTGAAGGTAAATATACAGACACTACTGTTTGCTTCGCCCTCTTTCCCTTCCTACTATTGCACTTGTCCCATTTTCGTGGTGAGCTTTTGACACTAACGTGCTACTATCCAACAGCTCCTTGTCCCTTGACCCCGTTCTTGTTTCCCTCATTAGCTTATAGAAAACTTCTCAGTTGCTCTTTTCTGCTCCTTTTTAAGTACGTGTACATATTGAAACTGGGCCTAGCGTATTAGCAACTGACTGCTCTGTAATTCCTCTCTCATGGTACTTTCATTTTTCACTTGTGATCAAACGCACAAAAGCTGGGAAAATTCCGAGAGGACCAGCTGGGTGGACAATTAAGGAGCCACTTGCTCATGTCCATGCGTCAGATCATTAGCCCCGCCGTCCGCACTGAGAGGCTGTCAGACGGTCCGCAAGCACATATTTTGTTTCCCACGACAAATGAAACATCCACCCTTGGCCCACCCCCAATGGCCTTCACAACACTGGGAGTGATTTACATCAGGACAAAAGGGGGAAGCCTATGAGCAAGGAAAACAGGGTTCTCTCCCGGTATTGATCAGATCCTCTGGGCTGAGCCAATCAGTAAAACCGCTCTAGTAGGATCTTATTTGCTCTTAGGTAGGGTAATTATTCAAAAATTATTATAGGAGTCTTATCATCAGATTATGAATTTTTTATTTCTTTTCATGGATATGAAAGCCTGTCAAAATCCGCCCAGGACTTTATGGCATTCATAACACATCCACATAGATCTCTAGATCAGAGATCTCCCCCATTAGAACATTCTCGCATGGGCTTCAGTTGACTCAACCCAGTTGAAATATTTAAACCCACACAGTGAGGATGAGATTTCAGTATAAGTCAAGATGCACCATAATTTTCCTTTAACCAAAAATTCCATCAACAATAATTGTCTCTTAGTGAAAATGTTGCAGGTTACCTTTGGGTAATCAGAGGGACAGAAAACATCTGCCAGCCCTTTTGCTGGTTCACAGAATATGTCTGTCCTTCCCCAGCCGGACACCTCCAGTTTTCCTCCCATAGCTGTACTTTTTGCTAATCATTTCCCCCGAGGCCTCTCTGGAAATATTTATTCAGTTGATATCTAAACTCGACACCAGAGTTAGTTTGCATCAAAAGAGCTACATTTGATACAGGTAAAAATTTTAACATGTAGTAGATCACATGTTACTATCAATAGAGTTTACCCCACACTTCCTTTTAAACAACATACTTTCATGCTGAGGAATTATACTTTTGTTAAATTTAGTTATATGTGGTTTTTAAAATTGGGAAAGCAGAATCTTTACTTTTATTTTCCAGATGCATTGATTCATGAAAATTCCCCCCTTTTTTTAAATAAATACTATCTCTTTTAGCAGAATATAATCAGAAATTTCCATGACAGTTTATTTTGTGATTCATGTTTTTGCTTAATCTTCATACTTAAAGATAATTTAGCTGTGCTCATGGACCACTTCACTTAACTAATTTTATTATAAGCATAAAGTCTGTCATTTCTATCTATTGAGAATGTTGTTAACTTGGTTTTTTTAAAAAAGGTCACATCTGCCTGAACACATTGTAAACATTTTTCCATGCTTGATAAATACTTATCACATGAAACTAAATACAATGAATTATGAAATAATGAAATATGAAATAGGTATTTTGGCTATTGGGGGAAAAAGATTTAAAAAAAAAAAGATCTGCCCACCAAATGGCAGGTAACCTAAGTCTTTTGAAATAAGGGTATCCAGCCCTCCTCCTTCATGGCAGCTACCTTCTTTGTCTCCTTAGGTAAATTTCTCTGAAAAGTTTCCAACATTTTTATAATGTTTTTGCCTTTTGTTTTTTAACAGTGTTCAAGAAAAAATGTCTTGATGCCTATTAGCAATTAGTTGCATGAATTCTTGTGAAATATAAGCTGCCTCCTCCAGCAAGCTCAGCTAGTCAACTTATATTTTACAACATAGATATTTATCTTATTTGAATACTGAACCAAGACCATGCAAAACTAAATTTACCTTTATAGATAAGTTATCATTTTGGAATCTGTATTAAAACTATTTTTTGCCTTATATGCTAAGTTCTGCTAGTCTTTTGATAACACTAGGAAAAATAAACTTACCACAAAAGGAAAGAAATTAAATGAGCAACTTTAAAAAATCACCAGTGAAGCTTAATTCTCACTTAAATGTGAAATAAAATGAAATTTCATTATAATTAGAATAAAAACTCTATCACCTGCCTAAAATATGTTTGCTATTTTGGAAAATATGTTGTTAAATGCAGATCTGAAGTATCCATGAAGCTGTATGTAGTCAATGATTCATTTCAATGTAAAACTGAGTAATATTTAACTAGTGAATTGCATAGATAGGATTTAGGTATTTAATATCCTATGTACAGTAAGCACTCAGTAAATTCTCAGTAAATATTATTGTTATTCTCAGTTATATAAGAAGGCTTTCTGTTCTCCCTTTTCTAACTATCAAAGTCTTGTCCTTTCTCATAAGTCAGCTCAAATGCCACAACCTTCAGGAAAACTCCCCCTCAGATCAAAGTGATAAAACTTTTCTCAAAATACCTCATTGGCTTATTCCCAGTTCTGCCTCTGCATTTGCATAATATATAAAATGCATTTTCTCCCTTCTCCATTTTCTGCTGGATTTGAAGTGACGTGAGGTCAGGGTCTTCTACATCTTTACTTTCGTGTAGCCCACAGCAAGGAGGAGAAGGCCTGGATTTTATATCGACTTGTGAAATTGGCCAGTTAGACTAACATTTATGTGATCAAATATACAGGCAGAAATAAATGGACTTTAATCTCCCTTTTATAAATACTGTAGATACAAAACAATTTAATTAGTAAAACCTTTACTTCACGGATTAAGAAAACTCTTCATGTTGGAACCACTTCGAAAGCTGAGCTTTCTCAACTTGTATTGTTCAGTGTCGTGGGTACCTACCTATCTCATGTGAGTGCTGCAACAAGTGCATTCGCACGAAACGCAAAACGGAATTCAGGTTCCAAATTCTCATTCAAAATTTTTCTCTACTTTTGAAGACTCTATTGATATGGAACATAAACTATGCTTTCAGCCAAGAACACAAAAAACAACATTCTGATTGGAATTACGTTAAGCTTCAAAGATGAATCATCCTTCAGCAGTCACAATAATAGGGTTACTAGTATAATATAATGTATAGCATAGCATAGCATAGCATAGCATGATATATTCATTTTAAGGTCCACACTTAATTTATGTTTATTATTATTAAAGTATACACTTGCTTTTATTCAAAGGCTTCCTTTTTGCTTTTTCTCTTTTCAAGTTTCCTCCTCGGTGCCTTTTAATTTATACATTCTTTCCTATCTTTAACAGATAAGTCTTTCCCTAATTACCTTCTCCTATCCTACTGATCTTCATTTTTCCATCACACTCCAAGTCTGTGATGTGCCCTTTTGTCTTTGAAATGATTTAGGGTTTCAGACTCAACCATTGTTTTATTTAACAAATATTTTTTGAGAATTCTGTTCGTCTTTTTGCCCCTTGAGATCCAATTTCCATCTTCCTCTTCGCTCCCATTGACTTAGAAGGTGGGCCTTATGGTCTGGATCAACTGGGCTCCATCCCTCTGTCTCATGATTAGGTTTATGTAGCGGTGCTCACACGAACGTAGAGTTGCAGCTGCTGCTTGCCCTGCCTAAGCCAGGTATCCCGTAAGCAGGGGTGGGGAACCTTTTTCTGTCAAGGGCCATTTGGAGATTTTATATATATATTTGGAGATTTTATATATATATATATATTTGGAGATTTTATATATATATATATATCCAACAAGCAGTACTCTATAAATGTTCACTTTAAATGTTCAATTAAAACTATAGTAAACTAGCCCAACAATTGCAAAACTACTATATAATTTAATATTTATAGAACTCTGGAAGGCTAAAAACTTTTTTATAATTTAAAATTATAAAGTCACAAAAGAAAATATTTATAAATTTGGCCATTTATAACTGCTGAAGAGTAAACAACAAAATAAAAAGAAAGCAGCCAAAGAGAATGTCTGCCACAAATGTTAATGTTATATAAAGAATTCTTACAGCCCTGGCTTGTGGCTCAGTTGATTAGAGTATCATCTGATACACCAAGGTTTTGGGTTGGATCCCCAGTCAGGGCACATACAAGAATCAACCAATGAATGCATGAGTAAGTGGAACAACAAACCCAGCCCCCA